GCCTGGAGGTGGAGGTGGTGTTAGAGGTGGGCGTAGAAGGAGTTGAGAGCACCAGGCAGCAGTGGGCCTTTTCCTTGTTGTAACTGGTGATGCATTTACTGCCGTCCGTAGGTGTGAATGTGAGTGTGCTTGGTTGTCTGTCTCTAAGTGTAGCCCTGTGATAGACTGATTACCTGTCCAGGTGAACCTGCCTTCACCCTGAGTCAGCTGGGATAGGCCCCGCCCCCTAGTGAGGCTTAAGTGGTGTATAGATAATGGACGGATGGTAACACATGAAAAAACGTTGGGCATGTTGATGACCTGAATACTAATGCAAAAAGGCACCAAAAACCTGGATATGAATGCACAATAGTATATTTATATGTATAAACCTGGATGTTAACCTACAACGTCATCAACAGATTGGATGTTGGAGAGTAAAAAACGTGGACATGTGCACACAACAGGATCAAAAACCTGAATTTTAATGTGTGAAAGTGTCAAAAACCCGAGATACTGATATAGAAAAGGTCCAACATCCAGGAATTAAAGGGAAAAAGTGTCAAAAAGGTGTAAATAAACAAAAACGTCTCCAAAACCTGGACATTAAGGCACAGAAGGATTTAGAGGAACGTTGGGTTTATCGTACCCTAAATGTCGTCTGTCAGGCAGAGCTTTAGTCTGTTGATTTATTCACAAACGTTCTTGTTAGATTTGACTGTTTTTGTTGTTTTGTTGAAAAGACAAACTAGACATCAGCACCTTTGCATAGAAACGTGATCCTAAGACGATGTCAAAGAATCTCAAAGTGTCTGAACACAGAAAGAGTTCAAACTCGTCTCAGCACACGGCACCAAACAGACCCACACAGAGTCTCAGTATGAAGCCACGACCATCAGCCAGAGCCGACCACGCTGTCGTGAGACAACACACCAGTTTCACACCACAGTTCACTGGAAGCAACAGAAGGAAGCTGCTGCTGTGGTTTTTAGCTGCACAAGTGAATTATTCTGAGAATGGAGCAGCTTTCTGGTCGTTTCCTGTTCACACATATCTTGTCCACTTATCTATATATAGTTTGTCATGAGCAGCAGCAGAAGAAGGAAGCTGTATTTATAAAGCTCCTAATAGCTTCTCTGATAATAATTAGCTTAGCGCTGTGAAGTCACCGTGCTGGAGTCGGCTGTATCGTTGCACTGATGTAGTTTCTGTGTTCTGTTGTCAGAGAGCGATCCAGCTGCAGTCTACTCAGCAGTGAGAACAGAAGAAACCAGCTGTGGACAAACTGTCATCAGACCAAACAGGAGCAGAGGTACAGCTGCTCTTTATTCTGAACTCTGGAGAGAAAGAAGAGAAATGTCTCCTGAAATGTGGAACTGCTCCTTTACAGTCTAGGAGAGAGAAACCATAGGGATGTCCACAAGGACCGAGGTCCTTGAATGATGTTTAAGAATCAATGCTGCACTTCCAAATATTCTGTCACAGGTCAGAGTTCATCATTTAAAACAACACTTTAAGAAGTGCAGGAGTATGATCTGTGGAAGCTGATGATTGATCCTGATGCATCAAACCTTCAGCAGTGTTTTACTCTGAGCGGTTTGAACTGATCAGCCACAACATTAAAACCAGCTGTCCAACATCATGCTGCTTCTCTGCTCACTCCACAGCTCTGAGTTTATTCAGGCTCAGCTCCAAAACAACATGACACTAGTGGGGACCCTAGAAGTGCTCATCGACCACCATAAAGCGGTTATCGCTGGCTAATATCCAGCTGCTTTGACTTTTACTGATACTGAGGCACTTACGAATCCAAAACCTGAATATCAGCAAACAAACAGCAACAACCTGATAGAAATGCAAAACATGTCGATAATCGGGATGTCAGTGCAGAAAACTATCAGCAAGCTTGGATGTAAATGGACAAATCAAAGACAGAACATGAACCCACAAAGGGGTCAGAACCTGGATAATGATGCAAACAGTCATCAGTGAGCTGGATGTTCACACAGAAACGGTTTAAAGCTGCCACCAGGTTGGTGGTGTTCCTGACATGCTCATTACCAAGATTTCATTGTTACATCAACAGAAAACAGACAGTTCTTTGCTTTGTGCTGTGATTTCCCTGCATATGAACATGACTGTGTTGTCTCTGTTTCACTGTTCAGAGCTTCCACTGGAGCCTCAGGTCATCTACTCATCACTGAAGTAGTCCACCAGTCCAACCAGTGAGCTGCTGGCCTCTAACTGGTCCACACAGCCAGTCACACCACAGTGCATTCACTGTTTCTAAGGTTCCTAGATGTTCTCACTTCATCACATTTGGACCAAAAAGTGAAGAAACGGCAGAACTGAAAGACTAAAACCCAAATATGTCAGAAATGTCTTCTGCTGAACCCGGCGTAATGATCACTGGTTGTTTTGTGTTCTGTTATTTAGATCTTATTGATGAGTCTGTGTGCAGCGCTGCAGCAGCGATCTGCTTTCTCTGCAGGATCAATACAGTTGCTGTTCTTCTCGTGTGGTTCTGTGGGGTTCACAGAGACGCTGGATGGAAAATTTGACTGGGTCTTGTTGGGCTGTGGCTAACCGATGTGCACGTCTCTTCAGAGCAGATAGCAAAGAACACACCTACAGGACAAACATCTCACTGGCCATCACTCAAACAGAAGTCTTACTGCCACAACCAGAACCAACGACCAGAAAATATTCACAAGAACTCACACTGTATCCAAACACAGCACACAGAGAGCTGTTATTATCTGAGGGGAACAGAAAAGTGACACTAATGTATTAACGGCAGCCTCATCCTCGTCATCCAGACAGATTCATCCATTGCTGTCCGGTGCTGAGCAGAGAGAGTCTGACTGGACGGTGTTGCTGGGAGGTGGCGAGGAGAGGAGGAGGAGTTCGTGTCGCCGCCGCATACAACAACATCAGCAGAGGTGGTCAGATGATTATCAATTTGGGTTGAATAGAAAATGTTGGGGTTTATGTTGTGACACCAACAGTTACACGTTTTGGCACAACAACATCCAAACTCCCGTCTCAGGTCGTCCTCCCTCCAGAATAGGAGTTTACCTGGATCACAGAGCAGGTGTTCTGTCCTTCTACAGCGTCTCTGAAACCAAGACTCTCCTCCACAGAGTCCAGACCTTGTTCACTCAGCCGCTACATGCTGGAGTTTACGTTTGCTTTACTGGATCCACTGCAGAGTTCATTACCAAAAAAACAGAGTAACTCCAGTGGCACAGGGTCCGTTTGTAGTGAAGAAATGTGTGGAACTGTCACACCTCGCAGCACCTCTTATCCAGTCCAACCCCTCTCCAGGGGCCTCATTTATCATCAGTGCGTAGAAAAGCTTCTAAATTCTGTCGTATGAATGAAATGCAGAGTGTGCGTAAGTACAAAAACATCTGTATTTATCAAACGTGCGTACGGGGGTCGTAGCACATCAGTGTTGATAAATCCTACTTGTTCTTAACCTCCGTGCTCGAGCACGTTGCCTTCAGGAACGCCTCCACATCACCATATAGGGCAACAACACGCCTCTTTATAAAGCAAGTGAAGATTTATTTTTTCCTCACCTGTCGTCATCATCGCGGCAAAAAGGGTGAAAAAGAGGAACTTTTATGAAACTGAGATCGAGGTTCTCGTCAGCGAGGTTGAAGCAAACCAGAGAATATTGTTTGGTGCATTAATGTTGGGATGAGCAGGGAAAGAAGAAATACTGCAGACAAGAAAACCACCGCAGTTATTCCTGTTGGTCAGAGGACAGATCGGTGGCAGAATGTTTAAAAAGAGGTTTGATGTTAAGCTCAGAGTCACAAAACATGTCACAGTCCATAAAAGAGAACTGATGCAACTGGAGGAGGACGAGTTAATACCAACGTCCACCCAGTGGATAACCCTGATCACTGCAGATGAGATGTTTAATAACCAGACTAAGTCCAGCTGAAACATCTCCACTCTGTGACACTCACCAATAAGCCAGCCGTCCTCAGCAGCTCCTGCTTGGAGACCCACAGAACTGTTCTGCTCAATGAACGAGTCGTGTTCCTCCAGGCCGCTGGGCAACAACGTTGGATAGCCACAAATGTGCATCGCAGATTATCTGGACGTTGATTGAATGAAACCCTTTTCTATTTACAAAATTAAGCTCGTTTAGTGATGCTGCTTTGAATGTGATGTGGGTGCTGTCTACGGCTCCACTTATGTTTGGAAATCCAGCGACGGCGTTAAGTCCCTGTTTGATTTGGGCTCATCGGTGACGGCTGTAAGGGTGGTCAAAATCCCCGAATACTTTTATTTGTAGTTTCACTGTTCTACCACTAGATCATGTGCGTACACATGGTCAGAGGTGTGCGTATATTTACACACAGTCCTAAGTATAAGTACAAGTTGATAAATTCCATACTTTGTGTAGGAACGTTCGTACGCACTGAGGAGGACCCAGGAGTTTGGTTCCAGAACCATTGCTGTGCGTGGAGGTGAGCCCAGCTCTATCTGGTCCATCACGCCACCTCCCGCACCAGCTCAGGGTCATTTCCCGCCAGTGAGGGGATCTTCAATGTCCCTACAACTAGTCGACACCACCAGGGATCAGCATGCCTATGTGCTCACTCCTATGCACTGCATGGTGGGCTGTTAGGAAAATACATCAGTGGAGTCCTAATTGCTCCAAATCAATACACAGAGTCGTCTCTCAAGTCAAAACAAAGTTTTGCTTGCAGCAAGGAGCCACATGTACAGCAAGGGGTCTGAACAAGTGACTGACTAGAAGCATGAAGCATTGGTTCTTATATACAGAAAACAGAAAACAACCTCCCGCAAATGTGTGCGTGTAGGCATGGTGTTCTGACTACCCGCAAAGGACGTCTGTTCCTTATCTCACACTAACAAGGTGAAATAGAGGCAATGAACATTTACAGCGTTCTCATACTTTTCACAAAGATCATTGGATCATAACATAGAATTATTCTAACATTGGCATAGCACCCAACGCCCGACCCTCAAAGGCTCGTTCACCAGTGCTCACTGGAGAGCTCCCCTCCCTGGCCTGGCTCCAGGAGGGGTCCTGATTGCCCTACTCTAGAGAGACCCCATACTGCTGTCTTGTGGCTGAGAAAGTGTTCACTTCTCTCCAACAGCTAGTCTCACCAACATACACATAATGAAGGGAGACCTTACAGCTGTGTCTAGTGTGAGAAAGCTTGAAACCACAATGACTGGAACTTCACCAGACCTTACACTGGAGAGAGACCATGCAACTGTTGTCAGTGTGCCAAAGCCTTCACTTGAGTGACCGCTCTGAGACAACACCAAGAAAATTTCATTGATGAGAGACTATACAGCTGTGACCAGTGTTACAAAACAGACACAAAATTAATGCAGTCAACTGTTTATCAAAGACTTCATACTGAACAGAAATCATACCAGTGTCAGGAGTGTGGCACCACATTTTTCTCATCAGGACAATTACACAAGTATCATTGAACTTATCACTCTGGCAAAACTAAACTAAACTAAACTAAACTAAACTAAACTAAACTAAACTAAACTAAACTAAACTAAACTAAACAACCTCAAAGCTGTCAGCAGTGTGACAAAGTGTTCATGTCACAAAGAGACATAAAATGTCA